GGGGGCAGCCGGGGGGGGGGGCTGGCAGCGCGCCCCGCCCCCCACACAAAGGCGGCGGGGGGAGGGGGCTGCGTGCGCCGCCACACGCGCACCTATAGGCGCCTATAGGCGCCCATACAGTGACACGCGCGCGCACGCGGCTCGCCCGGCCCCCTCAGCCTCCCCTCAGGCGGCGGCCGTTACCCGCTGGCCGTTGCCCGCGCGCGCCGTTACGCGCCGGCCGTTAGGGCGACGACCGTTACGCGCCGGCCGCTACGCGCGGGGCCGCGTGGCTGAGGCGCGGGCGCTGCCGTGCCGAGATGTGCCTCACTCCCGCATCTCCCCCCGAATTAAAGATGTGTTTATCCGTTTATTTACTGCCTCTGTGCGGAGGGGAGCGCGGGGCTCAACGGCTCGCCCGGTGCAGCCGTGGCAAGGGCGGCCGTTATCCCCGGGCTGCGCTGCTGCCCTGGCGGCTCGCGGCTGCCCGGTACAGCAGAGCGCGCTGCCGGCGTGCCCCTGCTTCCCTTCGCCGGGATGGTGATTGCGCGGGATTTTTCCTTAAGACGGCAGGAAGGCTTGGAACGGCGCGTTTGGCTTGCTTTAAATACACACTGGAAAGATTAAATGTGTTCTGTGTGGGTATGAGTAGGATCTCCTTAAAATCTTCTGTTGAGCCTGTCAAAGAGGAGTTCGTTTCGCCTGCAACAATGTCTCGTCTACATTCTGTTTCTTACGCTTAAATCGCTGACATTTTTGAGCATTAAAAAAAAAAAAAAAGAAAAGAAAAAAAGAAAAAAGTTGAGCTCAACTCCTTTGCTCGTTTCGTGACTGAAAGGAGCCTTGCCGACTCCCTTCAGATGGCAGAGGGATTAGCAGCAAGGAGCGTGTTTCCCTCCCCATAGCACTGAAATAGGAAGAAACTGGGATTTTAGAGAGAGCACTGAAAGGTGCGATAGGAAACAGACCTCCAGCTGAAAAATCCTAGCGTACGTCTGCAGCAGTAAGGTCACCACCACTGCGAGGCAAAGGTGCTCTCACTTCCCTCACAGCCCAGAAGAATAAGGCAGAAGTGGCAAAAACAGAACTGAAGACACTTTTTAGCAGCACAACAGGACCTCACAGGAACTCCTGGGGAGCCTTTGCCAGCAGTGAAGGAGCTGCAGGAGTCAAGCCGCGGAGAAGGGATGTGCCATGGGCTCCGTCCGCACTTCAGAAGAGCCCCAGGAATGTAGGGTCTGGCCTGAGACTCACTAGCAGTAGCCATAATAAGACCCTGGAATCTTTTTTTCTTTTTCATTTTTTTTCCTGTAGTATTAAAAAACAGTGAATTCTAACATTTCTGAAACTAACATAGCTAACTTCCCAAGTGTGGTGCTTGAAAGCGAGGTTTCCCTTCTGGGTTCCCCACCACCAGCAACTGCACTTGCTGTTCTCAGTGTCCTCTTGCACGTGGCTCAGAATGGCTGAACTCTTACAAAGCACAACAGATATTCCCAGAATCCCAATATACACTCGCATTTGGTAGGGATAAGATAGACTGCATAAGGGGAAGTTGCTTACAAACACAATCTTGGGTAGCAGCAGAGCTTTTTGAAACCTCCTGCTTTAAAAAGCAAAGCTAAATCCAGAAAAGTCTTCTACTTTGAATCGCCATCACTTTTCAGATAATGTGAAGTCATCCTAATGAAGAAGACAAAATGAATTCTTACATCGAAGACCTATCACTGGTTTCTCAAAATAGCTGTTGGCACAGCTTTAATAAAAGGCCTAGACCTTTTCCCAAGAAACTGTAACCATTTAAAACAGTTATGCTTAAAATAGAGATATGTATAAATATATGAATAAATACTGTAGCATAAAGTTCAAAGTGACCTTTTCTGATACACCTTTACCTTACAGGGTTGCTCTGTTTAGTGAAAGTTCTGAAAACACCTGGTAGAATACTTCTCAACACTCCCTATAAATATCATACCAGAGCAGTCTTTTTCTGAAGAAGTTACACAAACTGAATTGATAATCTGACAGAAAAATTAACTCTGAAATGTCAGCATAGACAAAGTTTGCTTGAATATTAGAGGGACTTTGGAGAGTGTATCTGCAAGCTCAGATAGAGCGAAGGGAAGACAAAAACAAGTGTCTTTTAGGATTAAATCTGTCATTCCTTCCAGAATGAATTCCTTCCAGAACTCCTTCCTCCTGTCATTCCTGACTAACAACTGGGGGCTTGGCTGTAGACTGAGCACCTCTTGCACCTCTGGCTGCTAATTCTGGATTCTGATGCTCAGTTCTTGATCACCAAACAGTGGCTTTCAACTTCTTTTTCTACTTGCAGTCTCCAAAGACCTTTCAAGTGGAGTTTATCCCTCCCAACAATAGACTCCGTTTTCTCTGTCAAGCTCCATAAAAACAGCCTACAGTCCCCCGGTACTTCTCCAGCACATGCTGAAGACGGTGGTCTTAGAGCATGGCCTGTTATTGTGGTGCTAGGATGGACTTCAGATGGCTTTATCTCCCTGTGTCCTAATAATAAGTTCTCTTCAAGTGATAGCAGGTTATCTCTGCAGTTGTTATGACTCCTAACTTTTTAGAATTGTTATTATTTCCATTTATGTATTATTTTGTGTGATTATGTTCTTGTGAAAATGTTACCAATAGCATATGGAAGACCACCAACTGCCAGCACAGAAGATAATGTATTTAAAGTGCTCAGGCATGATCCCACACACATCTTAGACACTAAAATAAGTTCTGGAAACCATTTAATTGTTCCATTTGTTACTTGGAAGGCAAAGATTAGCTGAAAGGAAGATGTTCAGATTTTAAACATGAAGCTCATGAAACTCATAAGGGGATACAGAGCATCAGGATCTATAGAAGCCATAGATTTGTCAGTCACATAACGGCACTGATCTGAACATCTTCATCAAGTCAGGGGAAAATAAATCTGGTATTGACATTACAGAGACCCTAACACTTCCTGAAATGTGGTAGCACATATTTCTCGTGTGAAAACCTGTATTTTTCGAAAAGAAACCTGGTTCAAGAGTGCTCAGCGTGGATTCTGCAGACAGGTGAATAACTCTGTCAGACTGGAGCAGTAGGACTACATTTCTTTTAGCAAGATAGAAATATGAGGTCTATGATCTCAATAAGCAGCTATCAGACAAGATAAAATCCCAATCCTACTGAAATCAGTGAGGACTTTGCCCCTGCGTGTAATGAAGCCAAATATAATGGGAAATTTTCAAGAGGACTTTAAATCCGTCTATTATAATGTGTGGATTGGAAAACAAGAATACCAATTTTTTAAATGCATGGTATTCAAAATATATTTCTGTTCTGTTTCAAAGCAAAATATTGTTTTTCAATATAAGAAAACATAATAGAGAGAGGTTCATTTCTCTCTTTCGTACCTACCATA